TGAGATGAGAATGATGAGTTGGACTCTCAATCTTAAACTCCTGATCGACATTCAACCCAAGTGAGATGACCTTCCACAAGATATCCTCTAGAAGTATATATTGTTATTGCTAAAAAATGTGAACCTCAGAGTTATAAAAAAGTTGTGAGGAGCTATGAGAAGAAAGAATGAGAGAAGGTAATGCAAGATGAGATTGCACTAAAATCAAACTCATAAGCTAACTGAACTGTCAAGGGGAAGACGAGCTCTAAAAAATAAATGGGTGTACAAAATCAAGCATGAAAAGAATGGTCAAAGTTCGAGATACAAATTTAGAATTGTGGTGAAAGGTTGCAATTAGAAGCAAGGCGTAGACTTCAAAGAAATATTTTCTCTTGTGGTAAAGATGACATCCGTTTGCACTATCCCGGGTATAGCAGCCTCAAAGGATCTTGAAATAAAGTAGATAGAATATAAAGACAACATTCCTTGATAATGACCTGGAAGAAGAAATATACGTGGAGCAACCTAAAGGGTTTCATGCTCCGGATAAAGAAATTTTGGTCTGCGTTTGAGAAAGAGCCTTTACGACTTTAAACAAGCAGTTCGACAATTATATAAGAAATTTGAATCATTCTTGATAAAGCTCAAGTTCATAAAGACAAAGGGAGACTATTGCGTATACATTAAAAGGTATGAGGGCAGAGATTTACTAATTTTGCTTTAATGACTTGATTGTATGCTAATTGTATCGCAAGACGAAATGAAGACAATCATCTTCCTTGGCGATGAGGGACCTCGACCTTGCAAACACTCTCTATTAATGAAAAGTTTATTGAAAAAGATGAAAAATTTGTCCCATCTATAAATTGGGACGAGACTCATTTGTAAAGTATTAACTTGTTAGGTAGTGCGTTTGCAGAAAATACCTCTATTAGAGACGTTTGAGAAAATACCTCTTTCAGAGAATAGTCTTTGTATTTCCATCCTTTTAAGGTGAAAAAACTAAGTGTACCTCTAGTGCTTATCATGGAAAAACCTTTTTTAACCACATTATTCATGTAGTGGAATATTTTATTGGAGTAGGTTCCATTGTTTTTACTCTTCTACATTAAGGATTATTTATTTATCTCATTATCCATCATTTTTGCTTTTATGAAAATTTGCTACTCATATTGGGCTGACCTAATAAACCAAATTCCAAATACCGAGTTTCATAACTCGACTTAAAACTTACTCATTTTCGTCGAAACTAGAAGACTTGAAACATTGTAGGTACAAAAATGTGAAATGTTTAAAATTTGTGTGTTAAAAAACTATATAAACAAGAAAGAAACAATTATAAATAGAGTACTATCTTATGAAATATTAAAGCATGAATCTTTAAAAGGAAACAAATATATATAACATTAACATTTAAAACCAATTTCTTAATTTTGTTCATAATTGTTCTCTTAAAGAAAACATAAGATTCTCAAAAATTTATTGATGCTCAAAATTTTTAGTATAGAGAAAAATTATTTTAAAAATAATAAACTACGTCAAAATAAATATATTATAATTTCTATTAGTTTGAGAATAAATTAATTTATGTTCAAAGTTAGTTTAATATAATTACATTGAGAAAATATTATTGAAAGCATTTACATTCCGCAAACTAATACGTACATAATCTCATCCACTCCAACTCAAGTCAAATATTGCACCTCACATTGCAATACTTTGTTGGGTTTGCTCTTTTACTAAAGCCTAAATGGATTATTAGTATGAGAAGAGCCCAAGGAACCTAGAGCCCAATGAGCTAGGGTTTCTTGGAACCCATATAAATAGTACCTCTTAAGTCATCAGCCTCCTAGGTCTTCTTTGTGAGAAAGAGGCAAGCTCATAATCTAATCAGTGCCCACACACTTCCCCTTCCTCCTCGAGAGATAGTTTGGAAGATCTGCCACAGTCCAGCTTCAAGGAGGTTGTTCGTGCTGCGGCGCTGAGGTGAGCTGTTCGTGAAGAGGAATCCTACAAGGGAAGATTCTACACGAGACCTGCGCACCGAGAGGTAATTGTGAAACAAGGATGATTCGGTAAGCATACCAATGTACTAGGTCCTAAACCGCTTCCGCATAAATCTAAGATTTCCTACATACTCAACCACAATTTCGGCCTTTTTCCAAATTTCAGTCTAGAGAATCATGGGCGGATCGAGGGAGGGGTTACCATTGGAGGCTACTCCTCCTTAATTTTTTTTTCTTCTATTAGTTTATGTATAAAATAATATTTTTTAATAATAATAGATTACTATTAAGTACTTATAGTTAGTCTCTTTGTCCAAAATATTTATAATAATTAGTATCTCGTACTAGTTTTAATAATTCTTATAATTTTAAATTTTTATTCCCCTCATTATAATTTTTTTTGGATCCACCGCTATAGAAAATGGAATATAATTTAAATTTATAATTTTTTTATTATAATTCAAAACTAATTATTCTTTATTCTCCCACCACAATTTTAATGGCTTATCTTTACAATGTAAAATCTTAACTAATTGAAAAAATAAACAGAATTAAATAAGTGATTCAGTATTACTCTATGCTAAAAAAACTAAAATTACAGCATCAACTAACATTATAGTTTAAACTAGTATTTTTTTAGTATCATTTTTGGTAGGAGATTAAAATCTTATTTTTGAACCCATCCCGAATAGGATCGTCTTCAATGGAAGATACCTGTGGTCTATTCAAAAATAAATTAGTATTTTTCTATTAACAACTGGTCTTTAATTATATAAACAAAAAATTTAATATCTCTCATGTTATAGAAAATAATTTTATCCCTTATATAAAAGTGCGGAGTTAATATTTTCTTTTTCTTCTCTTCAGGCACGTTACCCCAAAAGTCCACTTAGGAGGTAAATTTATCTTCTATTGAACCCATAATCAAAGCATATTAAATTTCAATGATTTGAAATGTTTTATTATAATGAATCTCATTATAATTTTCATAACAAACCATTACTATTGACTATTTGACTCACAACTCACGCCCAATAGTAGATTTTTTTATTTTATTTTTATTTTTTTGGGACTGTAGAAAAAAGTAACTAATAGTTATTTAAAAGTTTGCTTGAACGAAGTTAGTTTTTCATTTATACTGCATCATGCTTACGTTTCCACGTTGTTTTATTCCACCGAAATCGCGTTTTTTATTCCCAAACGCGTTTTTCCCCTGAGCGTAGTGTTGGTACATAATAAATAAATTAAATAACGTAATTAGGATATTTGCGGTATTTGGTCGAATTTCCTTTTATTGATTATTGCCTATTCAATATAGTTTATACTAAAAAGAAAATTGTTAAGTTTTAGTAATGTTCAACTCGTATACGAGTCAACTCACTTCTCTTGCGCTGCCCATATGTCCTATGTCTTCTGAGTTCTTTCTAATTATTGATTGCCGAGTCTCAGACTTCATTTCCTCACTAACAACTACACCATCTACTAAATTAAAATTTGTATTTATTGAATTTTAATCCCGTTAATTAAAATTGTCAATGCAATTGATAAATGGAGAAAAAAGGTAAATCTCTTTCCTATCTTACTTATGATCAAATTCATATTTTCGTCCTTGTCTTATTTATGGCAAGGAACATGTTTATAACCTTTTTTTTTAAGTATAGTTATAACCTGTTTTTTAAAAGCAGTTTTTATAGTCTTTTATAGTTTATATACCTTTTCCACAAGCATACAATATATAGGAATATAAGTTCCTACAAATTTACAATACATAGAGAAGAAAACTTTCTTTAATAACAAAAAATAAATACTTTTTTATAAAAATAAATAAAAACTTATACTTGTAAAATGAAAAAAAAGGGGGTCCAATGATAGGATGACTGGGTAATTTCGAGGGATGTTTTAGTCAACTAGGAAGCACGGTGATATTATTTTGTGTTTTAGAAAAAAAAAAAAAAAAAAAAACTTGTCTCTCGTCAACCCGTAGACTTAGTAGAGATAAGGAAAAGTACGCACACGCAAACCATTTGCGAAATTGAATAATATATATATGTTTCACATAAAGCGTATGTGCTTACTGCTTAAGTTAACTTTAAAAAATGGTTAAAATTTGATGGAAAAATTTGAAAATTGTAATATTAAATGGTACGTTACTTATAACATTTATCAAAATTTTCAGTTTTTAGCTTAAACCGTAAATCCATGTGTCCTAAAATATATTGCAAACACAATTGTATCCAAGTGTTTTCCTCCCTCTTGAATAATGTAATAAATGTAGTTCAACAACATCAAACCCCAATTTGAATGCTTCACTATCATCATTTATTTGTTGAAAGAGCCGCTACAAGACGAAAGACCAAAAAAAAAAAAGAGCAACCACAAAAAGTTCACGACACACACGAAATGTCAAACGTTCATGTGATGCCGTTCCTTGATCAACGAAAAAATTTTCAACACCAAAGAATAAGAGTTGATGTTAAGCAACGAGATTTTGTTTCCTGGCAAAATCCTCGTATATTCGTCTGTCCTCCAAGGTCATTGGTAACTATCTCGTTTAGCTTTATTTGACAACAAAAACGTATTTAACTGCACATTGTTTCCCAGTTACATATGTGATATATGTATATTTTTCAATACATGGTATAAAAATAGAGAAATAATTATCTCATGCAATAGAGACAAAGTAGTAGGGTCTACATAACTTTTTATTTTTTTTTACAAATAGTAGACCTTATTATCTTATTTATGTTGCATGAGATAACATGAGATTAATAGATCTCATAAAAATATTAACAAATAAGCAAAAGTAGATAACACAGCATTTTTATTATCATTTACAAAAAAACATGTGATAAAAAAAACATATTTTCAAATTAAGAAAAAAAAAAAAAGACAACAACGAAGGTGCATGAAAGATCCAACCAACGTAGGACGCAATTTACTTTCACACATAAATGAATACAGTTGGACTGTGTCGTATTAAGCTTAAATTAAATCTCTCTTTTCCTCTCTGACCTTCCAAATTTAACTCTTTCTTTCTTCTTCTTCTGTTCTTCTGTTTCTGCTTTTACTTCTTCACCTCTCTGTCTATATCTCTACAGTGTCTTCTCAATTTCTCCGGCGACGTTTTCTTTCTCTTGTCGGAGCCTTTGACTTTCTCCGATCACCGTCTTTGCAGCCTACCTAGGCGGACATGGGCCATTGCTGCAGCAAAAACGTTGCCGTCAACAACGAAACAGTCTCCGCTGATCACGGCGGCCTGAAACCGCCTCATCATGCGGCGTCTCCGCCGCCTTCCGGCCACTCAGTCTCCGGCGCCAGCGATGCGACCCCCGGCAGGCACACTCCGGCGACCTCCTTCTCCACCAGCCCCTTCAACAGCCCTCTCCCGGCCGGCGTGGCTCCGTCGCCGGCTAAGACTCCGGGCAGGAAGTTCCGGTGGCCTCTTCCGCCACCGTCCCCGGCGAAGCCAATCATGTCGGCGTTGCTGCGGCGGCAGGGGAAGGCGAAACCGAAAGACGGGCCGATACCGGAGGAGCAAGGGGAAGGTGGTGAGGGAGAGAGGTCACTGGATAAGAGCTTTGGATATGGCAAGAATTTTGGGGCAAAGTTCGAGATTGGGAAGGAAGTGGGTCGTGGACATTTTGGTCACACTTGTTGGGCCAAAGGAAAAAAAGGAGAGCTCAAGGGACAATCAGTTGCTGTGAAAATCATATCCAAAGCTAAGGTCAGAGGGTTCATAATTGTTTATATAAATTTTGCATTTGATGATCCCCTAAAAAATAGAGCTTCTGTTGAAATATAAACTGTCAATTGTGAACATTATTTGATATGTTTTTATTTTGGTGTTGGAGATGATATACGTTGACTCTTGGTCAATTCAGGATCAATTCCTGACTTTCATGATTGTTTCGGCACTGGAATTTCATGTTACATTGATAATTTGTAGTGGTAATTGTAACATATGATTAGTGATTACTTATTTTTTGAATTTCTAAATTCAATTTAGTAGTCATGTCAGCTTCTTGGGAAAACTATGGTACCGATTTCGCTTTTGTTTCAACTTTGGTTCATATGTTCTGTATATGAATACCAATGTCATTATAGAACCTGGTGAGGTAGTAGTTTTGGACTGAAGTTCCAAATGGTTTTATTGGTGGGTTGCTTTGCGGTCTACAGTAACTGACCATTGTTATTGTCATTTTTCAAAGTTAATGTTAGTACCAGAAAGGAAAATGCCATGGAGACCTGTTCTTGAGGAAGAATATGCGTAAGTTCCAAAAAAATGGAATGCAAATCATATCAGGATTAATTATGTCGGATAACACTTCTTTTAAGGGGAAATTCTGGGAAAAAGCAACGATGATGAATGATTTTGGCTGCAACTGGTGCTTTATCTCTGGTTGTTTTCTTGGGAGCATTACAGAAAGCTCTTGAGAGTAGGTGGCAGAAATTCCCATAAGTTTTGGGACAAGTAAGCAAAAGGTGAAGTTTCAACATCTGTTGCAAGGGCAACTTATTGGAAAATGTGGCTTTTGCTGAAGTTTTTCTATATGTCAAGACTGGTTCATCAGAAGATGTATACATTAGTTCTATCAACGGCCAATTAGTTGTGATCCAAACGGTAGAGGCTCCTTTGTTTGAGTTGTGAAGCTCAGTGGTTATATCCCCTTGTTGCCAAAGCACAATGGTAGAGAGTGGGAAGTTTGCACAAGACCATTCAAGTTACTTGTTTGTTTGATAAAAGCTGTTTTATGCTCCTCAGTTAGATCATTAGTGAGATTGTTTGTGCTTTATTGTTGATTGAAGAATGCATATGGCGAACCTGGGTGTTTATTGTTTTGCATTCTCCATTATGAGCTAAATTGAAGGATTGTACATACCCTTAAAAAAAAGATGAAGAAGAAAATTTATATTGTGGAGAAAGGGAACAAACAGCAAATTTCTTATGGACTAATGATGAATGTTTTAAGAACTGTCTCTTTATTGCAAGCCCTATGGGCATCAGTTAATGTAAAACTTTCATTTTACTTGACCTCTGATGGCTGATGTTTCTGGGAAGAGTAGTTGGCAAAAGCTGACTCTATACTTCTGCACCTTTTCAAATTGGAGCATGAGAGAAAAAGTTAATTTTGGTGTGGGGATTACGTATTGTATTGTTGTGGTTGTAGCTTCCATAGTTTGTTTTGACGTACATCAACATGAATTGAACTTTGATTTTCAAGTTGTTGTAAATCTCACCTTATAATGTTTGCTTGATACTGGTTATTGTAATTAACTGATTTTTATACGGCAGATGACTTCAGCAATAGCAATTGAAGATGTACGGAGGGAGGTGAAAATGTTGAAGGCCTTATCTGGACACAAGAATTTGGTCAAGTTTTATGATGCATTTGAGGATGTCAATAATGTCTACATAGTGATGGAGTATGTGTAGAAACAATTATTTCAGAAAATTACTTTCAGTCCTGCTAGGATTGTATCGTATTTTTATTTACTGGTTGATTTGTATGCATATCTCTTTTAAAGTTATTGGGTATAAATGAATTCATCATACGTTCATGTTTCCAAGAATATTCATACTATGGGCAGAATTTATAGCTGGGTAGTACAGGCATATACATTAATTGTTGAAATAGACATTTATTCTAGAGTAATGAGATATTCTTGTTCTTGTCAGGTTGTGCGAGGGTGGAGAACTACTTGACAGGATTCTAGATAGGTAGAATTGAAAGGCTATTTTTCATTTGTACTATCTTTTAACTTTTGTGTACCTCCATAATTTTCTTACAGAAGTTTGGTATTGAATAACGTGATTATAATAGGAATTTTTTTATATTAATTATTTGTTAAAGAGGTGGAAGATACCCAGAGGATGACGCGAAAGCTATTCTTGTACAAATTCTAGATGTAGTTGCCTTTTGTCATCTTCAAGGAGTTGTTCATCGCGATCTAAAACCAGAGGTATGGCATTCTGAAGATTGAACAACTTAGAATAATTTGGTCATGCCTTTCAATGAATAAGCAAATTTTTTTTTTGGTATAATTACCTCTCTAGTCTCTAATCTATAACTTGTCACGCTGAATGCTTTGCCTGCTTTGCAGAATTTTCTTTTTGTCTCAAAAGATGAGGATGCTGTGATGAAAGTTATTGATTTTGGTCTATCTGATTTTGTTAGACCAGGTAATATGATTGAATAAACCTATTATAGTCAGTACCAAGCAGTATAATAAAGTTTCTAACTTTCTCGTATTTAGTATCGTAGTTTTAGTTCTGGTATATAGTGCACTGGCTTGGCTGAATTCACGTTCAAACTGCGGGAAAATAACCAAGGAATCAAACATCATGTGGTTTTCTGCAACATGGTTGACACTTTCAGATTTTTTGATACGGATGCAGCAAAATTGGTGAATAGTGATATTTTATAATATCACAATTCATCAATCATCAATTTGGTTATAGACATCTAAAATTTAATTGTAGCAGTTGAAATTAAGAACTCAACATGCTTAAGATTTTTTAAAAATATTTTTCATCTGCTTGAAATATCTCATACATATCTTAATTTTAATATTGATAATTTGATATGATATCTTGATGCAATTTATAGTTCCTTGAGAGTAACATTTTTAAATGCCTTTTTTAAGCAGAATTTTAAATGCTTTTGTTTCCTGTAGACATCTTGTACGAAATTTAGTTTTCTCCCTAAGTAAGGTTTTTCTGGAAACTAAATCGAGATCATATATTTAGAGATACATGTAGTACTTTTCTTGAAAAGGAAGATCTTATTTATTATATGTCACTTATTCCTCTAAAGCCTTTGGTTGTATTCATTTTCCAAATTTATGACCATGTTCTTTACAAAGCTAGCTTTTCTCATAACTTCTGCAATTTTGATGCTTGACTACTATAGTTTACCATTGCCTCAAATATTACTGGCTTATTTGATATAACACCCGTTTACTACCAAGTGTTTATTTGGATTAGATTTCAGTGGAATCGGTGTTAAATAGTTAATTTGTGTTTGGGAATGATATTTTAAAACTTGGTTTAGAAGAACTGATGTTTGGAAAAGTAAATAAAATTACTTTTACATAACCAAATTACCAGCAAAGCCACTATATTATTTTAGTTTTGAAAAACATATAGATATGAGGGTTATTTGAGTAACCATACCCTTTTGGTTTACTTCTTTTTGGAATTGTTTCTTGTAAAAGCTAACTTATACTCCTTCCAAAATAATCAACTATTCTTACCTGCTGGGTGAGTTTAGAACAATTAAAAGAGAAGCCAAACATTTTTTTAATTTTGTTAAACAGTGATAATCCCCACAATCTTCGTGACACTTCAAAATCTAAAACAATTGTTGCTCATGGGGTAACCATGTATATGTGTATATGGCTATATGACTTCTGATTTTTATAATTTTATTCAGATGCCTAGGGTGAACTTCTATCTATAAATTTCTAACTAAATGGAGCTCCACATGCAATTATATCTCTTATTTTTTGAGAATGAAAATTTAATATTATGATCATTGAATTTGTAAGAAAGCAATTTCTTGTTAAATGTTTGGATGATCAAATTATTGATTGTTATAGAAGAAAGGCAGCTAGTAAATAATCCTCAAGTTTGAATGCATAAACTTATATAGCTAGTGAAAAGGGGTGGTTAAAAACAGAGAAATGAAAATGAGGGATGTGTCTAAACTTATATTGCCTCAAAGTGCCTTGTCAATTTTCACTCCTACGTTTCTTACTGTTGAGATATATAAAACCATTAATATAGCTTCACCCAACAGCTTAAGCTTTTGGGTTGAATTGGTTCTTTACGTGGTATCAGAGCCTCGTGTCCCGGGTTCGATCCTCACTGCCTCCCACTTTCTTTTTAGTGAAATTTTTTTCTTCGCACAGGTAGGTGGGCCTGTGCATTGTTCACCCTTCAAGCCCAGTGGGCTTTCGTGTGAGGGACCCAACAGCTTAAGCTTTTGGGTTGAATTGGTTCTTTACACTTACGTTCCCATTTTCTACCTTCTCATTTTCACCCTTACCCTGGACGTCCTTAATTCTCCATTTAAAATCAAATATTTTGCCCCTTCCCTTTTATATTCTTCCAGACTGTATCGATTGTAGTCTGGCAAATACACTAGGGGAATATTTATTGGAAAAGTTTGCTGATATCCATATTACTAATCAAGTGATGTTATTCTCTACTTTGGTCAAAATCATGGAGATATATTAACAATACCTTGTTTCTTTTTTACCCTCACTTAGAAATTTCCTTGTTCCAAGCTCTGCTATAATTATATAGGTTTGCTTGTCAAATGCTTTTCACTAATTTACTGGTTTAAATGAATCTCAGGACTTGCATTAATTCGTGGTTTAGGATTGCCTCCATTGTTCAAAAATAAATATTTATCATTTATTCTGTCCTACGATCATTCCCCATCCTCTTTTTGATTTTTGCACTGCTAGCACTGACTTCTAATAAACATGCAGATCAACGCCTCAATGATATTGTTGGCAGTGCCTACTACGTTGCACCTGAAGTACTCCATAGATCTTACAGTGTTGAAGGAGACTTATGGAGTATTGGAGTCATATCCTACATATTGTTATGCGGAAGTAGACCATTTTGGGCACGCACTGAATCAGGAATCTTCCGGTCTGTGTTAAGAGCAAATCCTAACTTTGATGATTCACCTTGGCCATCAATATCACCGGAAGCTAAAGACTTTGTTAAGAGACTTTTGAACAAGGATCACAGGAAAAGGATGACTGCTGCTCAAGCTCTAGGTATATTTCACTTGAATGTTTTACTCAGATCCTGTTTAACTTAACAATTGATTGCTTGTAATAGAAATTCTCTCTCACACACTTGCACTCCTAAATCTTTTTTATGATCCTTTCTAATGAAGAGTTACCTCCATATTTGCAGCTCATCCATGGTTGAGAAACGAAAAAATTGCGATTCCTTTAGATATTTTGATTTACAAGTTAGTCAAGTCATATGTGCGTGCCTCACCTTTGAAACGTGAGGCATTAAAGGTAGTCATCTGCTACTTTGCCATTAAAAAAAATGCATCTTATATCCTCCCCTCCTTTCCCCCTGTGATGGGGGCAGGGAACAACAGAACAAGAGTAATGTTTTCTGTTTTGCTTTTCTTTTCATTAATGCAGGCTCTCTCGAAAGCATTGACAGAAGATGAGCTTGTCTACCTTAGAGCACAGTTTAGCCTCTTGGAACCTAAAGATGGATACATTTGGCTTGAGAATTTTAGAGTAGTAAGTGCACGGTTTTTGCAATTTTATTCCCTCTGTGACTTTAAGATGCGTTCTTAAATGAACATACTATATTATTATCTGTTAACTATTAAATTTATATAGTGTAAATATGTTATACTCATCTGCTGCCTTCATTAAATTAATCTGTATTAGGTTAGTCTTTTATAATTTAAACTTTGTACTTGATTTTATTTGCTGTTTTTTCCACAATCTCTAAACTGATATTTGAAGAAATTCAGGCTCTCATGAAAAATGCAACTGAGGCCATGAAGGAATCAAGGGTTCTTGACATTTTAAATTTGGTGAGTCATCTTTGATTTGAGTTTAGAAGCATTTATTTTTCTTCAACCTCTCTCTCCATTCTGATATTTTAGTAGCCCTTTTGCTCCCAAACTATCATGTACCATGTCTTGATTGGTAATCATATAGTAAACAGTGACACTAAGTGTGAGGTGACTTAAATGCTGTAACTCGTAAGTCCTGCACATTTCCTTGACACCAGCATTTAATGAAAATAGGTGTCAGGAAGGAATAATTATTTGTTTATACTTTATAGTAAAAATGAAGGGCAGCCTTGGTACAACGGTTGATTGTCGCCATGTAATTCGGAGGTCACAAGATTGAATCATATAGTCAGCCTCCTACAAATAAATGTAAGGTCCTATAGACCTACACAATGGGTGTGACCCTTCCCCTCTAGACCCTGCACATAGCGGGAGCTTTATAACACCAGATTTCCCTCATTATTTTTTATATGTGCAAAAGCTTACACTGTTTATCAGTGCCTAAATTGTTATATAATTTTAGTTATTTTCTTTATGAAAGTGCATTGTTTTCTTTGAATGCGTTTACTATACTGAAAATCTGAAATGCATATTTCTTGAAATAAGTTGGAGCCACTCTCCTATAAAAAGATGGACTTCGAAGAGTTTTGCGCTGCCGCAATCAGTGTATACCAGCTGGAAGTTCATCAAGAATGGGACAAAATTTCTACCACAGCTTTCGAGTATTTTGAGGAGACAGGAAACCGAATCATTACAGTTGAGGAGTTGGCACAGGTTTGCACATTCTTTCAAGGGCACACCTACTAATGTTAACTTTGTCTTAAAAGGTCATTAAATAACCCACTAACTTTTGGATAATGTTTTCAGGAGATGAGTTTGGGTCCTTCAGCTTATTCTTTAATGGGAGATTGGATCAGAAAATCTGATGGAAAACTCAGCTTGGTCGGATATACAAAGTTTTTGCATGGTGTCACAATGCGCAGTTCTAATACAAGGCAACGACAGCTAGTATGACAAAAGGGATATTTTATTATTATTATTGTTATAGTATTTGTGGAAATTAGTTCGTGTCTTTTTTTTTTTGTTCTTTTTTAATTTGAATTCAAAAGAAAATGGTACAGATGGGTCTAAGCAATTTTTTTTGGGGTTTTGGGGATTGGATCGTGGAAAATCAGAACTAACATATTGTTTTGTTACTCATGTGATTTGCGGTGCAAAGTAAAGTTCTCTTATCTTGCTTGTGAGCACAAGATGCCACTTGCTTTTTTTGTAAGATTTCGTGTGAAGATTAAAGACGCTTCTGTTTGCGTCAACTTCATCTTATGGTAACAATGTCGCACTTTGTTTTGTTACAAAAGAAGATTAAGGTCCAGAAATGCAACGGTGAACATGGTCAAGTTATTCCATGGCTTAATGAATTCTGGGTATTTGGTCTAAATCCTCGTTTAACACGATGCACGTTTTTTCTTCTTAGTAATTGGTCAAAGGACGAGTCGTGTTCGTAAATGGTTACGGGATCACTTAACATTTTATTTTTTCCTTAAAAGTAGCATTGAATCACATTTGCATTTCCATGTTTTCCCATTATTCTCACTCGAATAAAACATAAGCTAGGAAACAAAGAGAATATAGAAAGCAAAATGCAAGTTAGGAACTCCGTGAAGATAGAGATGCACATTAAATAATTGGAAGTTATTTATCTAAAAAATTAATAAAATAATTGGAAGTTAGACAAACACTTACCCAATTTAACTTTGTCCATATTCCGATTTCGAAAGGGTCTGGGTCCTGATGACTAAGTACGTTACGTCATCATTTATAAGAAGAGTTTAAAATGAAATATTCGTCAAAATATGCCAAGTTGACGGGGGAGGAGTGATTGACCGTTAGATGAAGTAAAAAGCTGCTAACTGCAGTAAAGGATCAAAACTAGATCGGAATTGGCCAACAAAATTGCATAAATGTTCACGAGATAAGACAGACCTAAGTAATTTGGGTAGGTTTATCTAGTGCCAATCATAAATGGTGGAGTGCCCCAAATTTCTGTTGAGTTTTTTAAACATATAATGAGCGTATATAAGAATTTTATTCGTAAGTGTGAACGACACAAAGCGAAGATGTTTTCCTAGAAAACAGCAAATTAAGTGAAAGAAAATGTCATGACACTACAAATAAAATACTAGTCCACCATAAATTATTGAATTACGTAACATTTTTTTATGTTGCTAGCAGGACTAAAACATTTGTAATATTTATGGATCGAATAATGTAACATTTATTATATATATATATATATATATTTTGTATTTAACCAGATTTTGTAACCTGATTTAGTAAATGATAAATTTTCTAAGATTTATGTTATAGTTTGAGATTTTTTTTGTCTGGTGGTAGTTATATTATTTTTAAAATGGAACATAATATAACTATTTTTATAATATGCTCGCGCTTACTTTTTAACAAATCAAATGTGATGATTTTTGAAAGCAATAGGTGACCGCCCACAACCATAAAACGCGAGTATTTTTTAATTTTAGCACATTATTTTAACATTAAAAATGGATAAAGAAAATAGATCGCAAAGTCAAGATCGCGCATATTCAGAGGAAAATGTGATCGCCGCTGTGTTTGTTTTGTTGACCTCAATCTGTGCTTGATTTTGTTTGACAGTTTATAACATGTGCAAAACTTTGCTTCATGAAACCATATAATCTGAACTTGTTAATAGATTCATTAATAAATTGCTTAATAAGAGTTCCTTGAGGAAATTATGAACGAGTCCTTAAAGTTTTTTATTCCATGCTTAGCTTCAACTTTCTGGGAGCATATATAAAGGACAAACGTGATGAACTAATGATCGACTTATACACGCCAAGTCTTTCCTTGGTCCACAACCATTAATTCCACCAAACTCGCTATGAATTTCCTAATCATATATAACCATATAAATCCCCACCACTAAGAAATGCTTCATTTCTAAGTTAATCTTTCTCTTGTGTAATCCAAACTTAAGGGCAAAAAAACAATTAAAGAAGGAAAACAAAAAAGTCCACGCTTATCTTTATTCTAAATTCCAACCGTGTCTTTCTCACTTGCAACTTCCAACAAATTAACAGCTATCTCATATCTACAATCTTTTTTCTTTTTAATTATGAAAACGAATCTACTTTAATTCGTACACACTAAACAAAAGATTGAAATAACAAAGAGAGAGAAAGAAAATAAAAAGATAACAAATAATACAACATGGATCAGATCACAATATGATTCTCATTTCATATCTCACCGATCAAACAATTATACCCCAAAAATAATACAAATTAGGATCCAACTTTTTCGTCATTATTATCATCATATCAACACCACATTCTGGTTGTTGAGGAAAATTGAAAAAATAGAAAATAAAAATAAAACATATATGACATGTACACATATATATATATAACTTTAATTTGCTTGAGTAATTCATGAATATTCAAACTTTAAAGCACCAAGCATGATGATGATGATGGTGGTGATGGTGAGATTTCTCCCTATCAATCATGCCTTGGACGGTGTGGAACTCTTCCACGTGGCAGGGAATGGTAATGGGGCCTTTCTGATCGAACCCGTATTCTTCTTCAGCTTCTTTCAACAACTGCATGAACAGTGGATGGTTCATGTACATCACAGGGATCACAAACCTCTGTTGCTCTTCACCTTGTCCCACCAAGATTGCCAAACACCCTTTTGGGATGTCCTTCAGATCTTTCTTCTCATGGTGGTGATGAAAGTGAAGGTGAGGAATGTGTAGATGAAAGCTCATGTTATGGTGCTTCTGATTATGATGATTACTAGCAATCCCCATATTCAGAAAACTAAAAGAGCCAAAGAGAAGAAGAAAAAATGAAAAACAAGGTCCAAACCTTGTGTATATAGTTGAAACAAGAATTTTAGTTAAGGGTTATAAGAAAACAAGAGAGAAAGGCCAGGGATCAGAGGCTGATATGGCAAGGTTGAAGAGAGTTAGGGAAGAGTCGGTGAGAGATCTTGGGATATTGCTCATGATAAATTGAAACTAGAGAATACCTACATAACAATTAACGTTGACAAAAAAATAAGAATGAGGAGGATTTACAAAGGGTGAGATAGAGTTGTTTATATAGGGGCAGGGTCGGTTGTGTAACAATATATTGATATTAATGTGAATGTGAATGTGAATGTGAATGTGAAGGAGAGTGTGGTGTGGTCATGACGCTTCTAGGGTTTACTTACTTTTTACACAAAGATTGGTTGTGGAGAAAAAAGAGAGAGATCCCAAAACCTAGAACAGTCATGTATCTTTCTTATTTTTAAGACGATGAGAAGGGTGATCGTGTCTTAGTTTTATTGGATGGTCATCTAAGAATATATTCTCTGCGTAATTAAAGTAAAAGAAAAGCTAATTGTTTTTGAATTTTGATTCACAGCTGGACATTTGAATTTGGTATAGGAAAGGCAGCATGAATTGGCAAGGTAAATGGATGCAAGAATCGTAACTTGAATTAAATAACATTCAAAATACACGATTGTTCCGTTTCTATAGACTTGTTTTTTTTTTAGGGGAAGACTTTGCTTAAAAATTAAAATTATTATGTATTACGGCTCACTCTATCCACACGTCACCATCGTTGTCCTTGCGTAATAGTGACGCGGGCTCTTATTAATGTTGGAATTAAGGAACCCTTCTTTAGTTTCGTTTTTTTTAATAATATTTTTAGTAAAATAAATATTTTATTAATATTTTATCATATATATCTTTTTTAATTTTTCATTTCGATTATTCAATTAAACCTACTCAAATTGAGAAGAACACTAGACAAAACTCTTCATATCGATCCTGGTTGATTAGAGATTGGAGGGTTTGCTTTCAACATACCCTTAAAGAAGCTAATACCTGTGCTTATTATCCAAGATGCTGTTTCTTTTGTTTTCGTGGCGTTTAGCCCTCGTACTGTATTAAAACAAAAAAACTCTTCATATCACATTTGTTTTTTATACTTTGAATATATTATATTACTTTTCAATAAAACTATGCATGAAACTGAAAAAAAAAGACGATCAGAATTAATTTGTAGTGTTTGTGTGTGTTTCAATGACATGTTTATTTGATTTTCATTTTTTATGTTACCTATTTGTTGTTTAATTCGTTTTCCTTTCTTTTTCTTTTTCTTCTACCGTGACTTAATTAAAGTTCGTGACCTTTCAATTTTTGTGCAGTAATTTTTTTAATAAATGTGGATCCCATCTAATGTGTTTGCAATAGGAGATAACTATCTACTGAAAATCGAAACCATATATATATATATATATATATAATCTCGAAATGAAATTTTTAATTAATTAATGTAATAAAGTTTAAGTAGACTCTTCCACTTTAGAAAAAATGATTTTTTTTATCATTGATCAAAAGGAGAATGTCATATATGTTTGGACGAACTTATTTTATATTTAAAATAAGGGTTCGTTTTTTCTGCCGTTAGTGCAGATAAGTTATCTGAAGTAAGCTCAATACGACGTCGTTTTGGGGCGAAAATCATGATATTTTTGTTATTTTAATTTATTTCAGAATTATAATAGACTTTATATTTATAATTTTTTAAGATTTCAATACCAAAACGACGTCGTTTTGAGAATAAATGCAGATGATTTATCTGTATTAACTGCAGAAACATTTTTCCCTTAAAATAATTTATAATTAATACATTTTAGAGAATGCTTTTAAAAAAGGTGATTTTACTCCCAAAAACAATGCAATGTTTTTTCTTATATGAGAAAACCAATAAAATTTTCTATTAATATAAAATATTAACTATAAATTTTCTCAAATAAAATTCTCCACTTTTTTATTAAATTAAACAAGTCACGTCACGCAAATAAATTCAATAAAAACTTATTTAGAAAAACAATTGCCCATATTTTTTTTAATAATGTGTTGTTATGCATGTGTTGATGATCAAAAATATTATGGAAATCAAAATAGAACGAATAATATGTGTCATGTGCACTCCTAATTTTTTTTAAAAAAATATACTACAAAATGTTTTCCATGAAAAACTGAAATGACTTTTTTCACTTCGAAAAAAAGGTAATTAATTATTTTCATAAGATAAAAACATAATGCAAAGTGGAAAAATATTTTCTTGTAATGTAAACCATAATTGAAGTTTGAAGTTTTGGTTAAGTGCTGAATATACATATAGTACGGTAAAAGTGCAGCGAGTTTCATTGTGAAGTTTTCTAGAAACTGCAAATATGATTATAGGCTTTAGTTTTTCTACGTAGATAAATTATTTATATTTATTCCAAAATAATGTTATTTTAGGTTGAAAAATAAAAAATTATAATGAAATAAACTATTATAATTCTGAAATAAATTGTAATTATAAAAATACATTGATTTTCGTCTTGAAACGACGTCGTTTTAGACTCAATATAAATAAGTTATCTACATTGACTGTAGAAAAAGCAAATCCATGATTATATATATATATATATATAGGCTTTCATGTTTCTATAGTGAATGTAGATAAATTATCTACATTCATTCCCAAAACGACGTCGTTTTGGGTTAGAAAATTAAAAAATTATAATTAAAAAGACTATTATAATCCTTAAATAAATTATAATTACAAAAATATCTTGATTTCAGTCTTAAAACGACATTGTTTTAGACTCAATGTAGATAAATTATCTACATTGACTATAGAAAAAGTGAACCCATATATATATTTAAATTATATTGTTATATATTATTAAAAAAATATAATAAAATTATTAATGTGACATTTGCCCACCAATTTTAGTTGCTAGGTTGAATTTGTTACTTTAAATAATATATATCAAAGAATTTTATCCTATCCTCACCACTCTCCTTTAATAAATAATTAAATATTATGAAAATTTTAATTTTATCATATTCTAATGAACTCTAATATAAGAAGACATATTAAAAAAAAATATAATATAAAACTACTAATATCACCTTTACTTATCAACTTAAGTTATTGATTAATCGAGTTAAATTGTTTGCTAAACTAATACATTTTTTTTTTATCGATCTGAGTAATCTAAAGTTTACATGCTTCTAATAAATAAATAAATTAAAATAAATTTCACTGGATCCAACACCACCGTGGGATAAACCAGCTTCGTAGTAAGCTAAGAATTCACAACTGCGGCCATGACAGCAGATTTCCAACAATCAATGCGAATCACGGGGGGAAACGAGTTTTGAAAATATCAAACTCAGGTGACACAACAAATTTTTTTACACACATAATATTTTGTAGGGTTTACATTTTTTGAAGAAAAAAGAAAAAAAAATACGACACGCAAAACGAATCTCTATAACATTACACAATCACTTTTTCTACAACATAACTTTTATCAAACCTAATATCAAATACTAACTAAATATATTTTTAAGGAAATAGTGTTTGTATAATTTATTATTTCACTCTCACAAAGAGATGAAACTCACACCTTTGTATTTTCTTGTCCACTCTCTCATCCTTTATCTATCTATTTCTCTCACTTAAAATAACACAACTTTACATCATTTAAAATGATACACATTTTTTCCTATTTTTAAATTATATGAAGAATAACATTCTTTTTTTTTGGAGTTACCCAACCCTAATTATCTCTTTGAGACGAGTTGGCTCCTTCCGGTATCCCCACGAGCTTCGACTCTTTGAGCCGGCTATGAGACTAATCCGGAGTGCGGGGGAACAGTGATGGCTAAAGGTTCAGCCCCCTCCCCAAGAATGCATTCAGCGGGAATCGAACACATATCCAACCCCACTAACTCAGCGCCAAGTTACCAACTGAGCTGCACCAATTGGGTGAAGAATAACATTCTTCTTTAAAATGTTCTTGTAAATATTCTAATCGCGTATGCAAATAATATATATATATATATATATATATATATATATATATATGAAAAAATATTTTTCTGATAATTTGAGATAAATTTATCTTCGGTCACTCTAGAACTACGTTGTTTTGTTTATTTATTTTCTTATATTAATTGATTCATCTTTAAATGATATAATTTCCTTTTTCTCTTTTTTCATTTATCATCATTGATTCATCTTTGTATGATTATGATTTAGTAGCCAAAGATAGAATTATCTCACGTATCTTGAGAAACGGTAAGCCCTATATATATATGAGTTCGCTTTTTCTGCAGTTACTGCAGATAAATTATCTGTATTTATCTGTAGTAAGCCTAATACGACGTCGTCTTGGAGCGAAAATCATGATATTTTTGTAATTTTAATTTATTTCAGGGTTATTATAGTCTTTATAATTATAATCTTTTAATATTTCAATCCCAAACGACGTCGTTTTGAAAGTAAATGCAGATAACTTATTTGTATTAACTGCAGAAATATTTTTCTGATATATATATATATATATATATATATATATATAGAGTTATATTTATCTTATGTTATAGGAAAATGATTGTCTCATGTTATAGAAATAAAATTACAAATGAGATCCACAAGTAAGAGGAGAGAGAAAAAATAAATGTGGGACCCACCTCCACTTTGTGTGTGTAGGAAGCTTGTTTATGTTATGCAACATAAGATAAATATACTCATATCATAGAAACAAACTTGTGGGCTCCACCATCTGAAAAGAAAAAGAAAAATGTGACACAATTATCGAAGGGTGTGTAAGAGAAAAAACTTATCTGATATAAATTGAGAATAGTTTTTTTCATATATATATTTATTGTGAAACAAATACTTCTTAATATTCTCGTAAGATATTAATATTTTTCTAGCCAATGAGGTTTGGCATCAATCTGATTACAGATTATTTCCATAGTTTTTTATTTGTATTATTATTTAATCAACTTTAAGCAATATTTTGGGAGAATAATTTTGTTTTAGGGAAAACAAATTTATAATAAAACTTGGAAGAATATTTTTGGAGAACAAAACTTGGAATAATAATTCATAATAAAATCACAAAAAAAAAAATGTTCATGAAAACAATTTATTTAAGAGAAATATATTTATTATTATTAGAGATATATAAAACCATTAATGTAGCCTCATTCAATAGAGCCTTGGTGTCCCGGGTTCGATCTCGTCATCCCTAATTTTTTTTGTGA